CTAAAACACAGGCAAAGTACATTTTAAAAACAAACACTGGGAATATTAAAAGGAAATTGCATACGCACATAAAGACATTTAATTAAACAAACTCGTTACAGCTAAACAGCATTCAAATTATAAGACTGAAGTTCAAATCTTTCTGTTTAGTCATTCTGAAATCCAGCTTGTACTAGTAAGATTAACATCCTACAGTTTCTAAATATGTTTGCTGTATCTTTTTGATACAAGAATACATTTCATTACCACATAAGACTGTTGCTGTAAAACACCATTATTCTTTCTGGACCCCAGAGTGAATTACAGTTAAATTCTGTTCCACAAAACTTAAGAAAATAGAGGGGAACAGAATAGTTCTCTCTGTGATGCATGAAGACTGAAGCATGTATTCTAGCTACTGTAACTGTAAAGTAACTAGGCAAATTATGTGCAAGATCTTTACTCCTCAAGACAAAGATGACTTGCTAATATGCATGCATAACATGTGCACAAAAATGTAGAGCTGCAGCAAGCTGTTCACCAGACAAACTTGGATGACAATGCACCTCACATAGCTTTCTTACAAAAAAATCAGTATTTGGGTTTCTGCTTGTCCAGTGGATGTGTGCTGGATTCATGGAGGCCTAAATATTTTTTTTTAAAAAAGAAACAACCAAAAAACAACAGCAACAAACAAATCAAAACATCCCCCCTCCACCCCCCCGAAACTAACTGCCCTCCCCCTTTAAAGTTCTGACCCATTCTTGTGGGCTTAGTTCCATACCCAAACATTGAAGAGATTGAGTGGTGGGCAGATGAAGAGAGACAGAAAGGGACGTGGGAGTGGGGTGTGAAGAAGCCAAAGCTGAACAGAGTGGAGGGGGAAAGAAAGTATAGCAGATGGCAGAGTTGGGAGCAGAGAGCGGGTGTGAAGAGTACAACAGAAAAACTAAATGAGAGAGGAAATTCCCCAAAGGGACTTCCCAAATATTCACCACCACTGCCGCTGAGAAGAAGAGTGAGATTCTGGAGGAGCATATCCACAAGAGAGACCAAACATGATTACTCGTATTGAATAATAGCCAATCTTACATCAGTAAGTAAACAGTGCTCGACTCAAGTTTAGTTTGGAAAACATGACTCAAATTCAGGAGAGTATGATTAATAAAAGCAAAAATCAGCCTTACTGTTAGCTGAAGTTCAACTTAGTGATACAGATACACTCAGTTCATTCAATTTACAGTGTTCATCTTATTAATTCCTTCTACAGCATGACTGTATTCTCTTGTACGTAAGTACAAACCAAATCCAAGCAAAACTGTTCTCCCTTTTCTACAGCAAAGTGCACACCCTTGTAGGAAGCTAAAGGATGTCTGAGAAAGAGCAAACTAAGTCTCAGATTTATCCAAATCCTCGGAAGCGGCAAGTGGCTGCCACTTTTCCGGTGAGAAAAGACTAACGGGATCAACATATAAGGGGGGAATATGGGCAAAGAGGGAAGCCATTTGAAGTCACAATGTCAGAATAACAGAGGACAATACAGACTTAACTAACCTAAGAAAGGAATTTCTCTGTTGCATGTACTTAGAAGAGACACACCACAAATCGCACCAAATGAAGCTTGTACCAGTACAGCTCAGACCAAGTCTGGAGAAATGATCACCATACTGAAAAGAAGGATCAATCAGTGATGTTCGCTTCATCTTCTTCCATAGGATCTTCCTCCTTTCTGATTCCTTCTTCCTTATTCATGTAGGAATTTTCACAGGAAGGAAGAATACCAGTTAAGATCTTTATTTCTTCATATACTCAGCTAAGTCATTGGAATGTTTTCGGTGATAGGCAACGAGTGTCTTTCAGGCAAGAAAGGAGACAGCAGTTGTGCATATATGTTTAGTAGGGAAGGTCACTTTGGCATAGCCTAGATATTGGATGTGTCTTTTCGTTGCTCATTCTAGTTTGTATGTTGTGCAGTCTATTGTCATTCAGAATACTGATTTAATGACAGACAGTGAAAGAAATTTTTGCTGGAAGGTGCAGCATGCTTTAGAAAATAACTGGAACTACTGAAAGATTAGATGGGACTTCTTGTGTGTCTGTACAACTGGTAAGCTTTGTAGGAAAAAGAAATCCTCATTATCAATATAAAAATAAATACGTCAGCAGTGTAAACTTCTTTGGAAAACCCAGCAAATCTCATATGTCACAGTACTGAAAAAAAGAGAGCATCTTACAACACTTCCCCTAAAACCACAAGGACTGGAACAAAAACAATTCAAGACCCTTCCCCAGAGGTAAAATGGAATGCATGACACATGCATCACTTTTAGGGGACCAAATTCAGCTGTCACTTATATTGATATCAGTCTGGCAGAATCCCACTTAAATAATTCTAGAATTACATGCCTGTGAAGGAAAGCAAATTTGGCCTAAATTACCTTCCCAACACTATAGCATATTCTTTATTTGCCATTTCACATTATAAGCTGTTGCACAGTAATACATATTTCTAAACATAAGAAATATTACTGACAAACAAATGTCATAACTTAGAGTATAAATACTAGTCTAATTTCTGCCTTTATTACAACAGTATGTAAGTACCAAATGATACCGGTTTCTCTAATCTGCAGTCTCCCTCTAAAGACATGAAGGAAAATACTATGATAATTATGTTAAAATGCTGAACAAGTGCTTATAACGTTAAAATTTCAATTACAAAAGAAATGTTTAGTTCCTTGCTTCCTACTGATTAGTAAATAAATTAATTTTGAAATGCTTTCCTGTGCATAAATATCAACTAGCACAGAGAAAGAAAAATGTCTTTTGCTATGATCACATACTGAAAACAACTGATTTTGCTTACATGCAGAAAAACAGAAATGCAAATAAAAAAATAACACTTCATCATGTCCATGTATTTTTGAGTAGGCCAAATCAACAACTCTCCACATGGTAACTGTGAAATGTACAGTGCCTGGTATCAGGAACAATATTCTGAAGCTGGCACATTAATCAGTCTTGTTTTCAAGCTTCTCATATATTATTCTGCATAGATTTTTTTTTTTTTTCCTGTTTTCTTCTGTTATCAGAAAGCATCTGCAGGAGTGCATGCCTGTTAAAACTAGTATAAAATTAATAGATTTAAACTGATTTATGCTACTTTATCCTGCAACAGAATTTGTTTTGATACATATGTTTTTGCTTTTTTTCCGTACAAACACCAACATTTTTGACACTTGAAAGGAACAATTTTGAGGATGTGACAGAAGATGGCAAATATCTGTTTAACTGCAAAAATATTTACACTCTGTATATGTCTGAGCTATTGTTAACATTTCCAATACAACAAGCTTTCAGCACGCAGAAATACACCCTGCATTTATTCTGTTCGCCTGTATATGTTAACTGAGAATGCATTTATGAAATACAAATAATGTTTAAAAAAACTGTATTTATGAAATAAAAATCGATTCTAAAATGCGTATGGAAAATGGGAGTCATAATGGCTGAAATTACTAAATCAACGGAGCATGAACTATGGAAAAAATAAACAAACCATCCACCACTCCCCAGCCTCCCTTCTGAAGCACCTACACTTGTCTATACCCACCACAGCGACGTCTGATTGCCCCAGCCCAGAGTGCACCAGTTTACAGAGAGTCCAAGCTGAAAAATCTTCCTTGTCACAGAATAGTTAAGGTGGCATCCCTGATTAACTGTTCTGCCTTGTCTGCCACTGCCCATGTATAGCTTCCATATAAATACAAAGAGGGCCTGCAATAGCATTATACCCACCCACCCAAAATGTGAACATTTTAAACCTTGACCAGGCTCTGTATGAAGAAACAAAAAATTTTTGGTGACACAAATTAATCTTGTCATTTTCTAGAGTAAAACTTACTGTTTCAGTAAACACAGTACATGCAATACGGACCCTTAGTAAGTAAGAGTTTAAAGAAAATGCACTAGAGCATTTAGTGCACTGAACAACAGACAAACATTTTTCAAATGCACGCTCATGTCAGTGGTCAAGTGCAATCTCTTGAAACTCAGATGCCTAAGCTAGGGGTTCCAGAAGAGGTTTTATTTAGCATTCCAGTCCCTGCCGTCAAACCCTGATCTTTTTAATTGCCCATTCTCAAATGTCTGCTGAATTTACCTAGGAAACACAAATCTTACCTAAATATGACAACAGGTATGTAGAACAGCTATTAACATTATTAACAGTATCACCGCTAGGAAGAGCCAGAAATACCAAACACTGCTTTTACAGACTTGCAAGTAAGATTCTTGAAGTCATTCTACACCTCTTTAAAGAAAAACATTAAACTGAGAACTTCTTCCACAACTTCACACAACCATAGTGGGAGAACAGTTCTTACCCTGGACTAAAAGCATTATGGGCTGCTCAGCCCCTGTTTCCAAGCATACCCCTGTATCTTGAATCAAATGGTAAAGGTGCTGTGAGTCTTGCCAGACTAAGTTCGGCAGACATGTAATAGCATGTGTTGCATCTCTACATGTACTTAAAAAAAAAAATAAAAATAGTAGCAGCTGCCACCATGAGGCTCACGTAAGAAGGGCATGGGAAACAGGTAGTGATGCCATCAGATAATAAAGACTTGTCATTTAATACTTTTGGTCAAGTTCCAGAAGAGGGAACTGTATATAGGAGAAATCGAATGATAACTATGGAGCAAACACATTTTTTTTTTTCATTCTCTAAGCCATATAACCATGACATTTCAATGCGGTTCCTGGTAGTTGCAGAAACTTACATTTAAAAGTGCTGCATTCCTTTTATGAGCTGCATCAGCTGCTTGAGTTTGCCATGTCTTTTTAGTCTTTTTGTCTCCTAGATAAGTCTCCATCTGCTGTAGCAGCTCTGATCTCTGAGACAGTCTACAAAGGAAAACATTTTGCTAAGTGGGTAGAACATTTTGCTCAGGAGCTAGAAAATAACCTTTTTACCTTACCCAGTTTTCTCAAAACTATGGGGCTAATTAAGCCGGCTGTAGGGTGGGTGTGCTGGGGGAGGGAAAAGGTACAGGCAGACACCACCTGCTGTGCTTGTATGAAGCTATAGTGTTGCAACCAGCAGTCCTCATATGCCAAGGTGCTTAGAAGCACTGAATCTCCCAGAACAGGAAAGACAGGGTGGGTTGAGGTGACCTGATCAGTACTACTCTTGCTCATTGGCAAGTACTGGTTGTTATAAGAAAAGCAGATTTTTCTGAATCATTACTGTATTTGCTTCACAATCTGAGTTTACAGGGCAACAAAGACGCAATTCTGTAATTGAGACGTAGAGAGAATCCAATTACCTTCCCCAAATAGGAATTTAGCAGTGACAGGAGGTTAACAATGGAGATCTTAAACCAGTACCACCATTGGAAGTGAAAAAACCCTCATCAACCTAAATACCCTTAACGGCAATCAAGGATGCTAATTCCAATAGTTTATGAAGGAAGAGTGCCACCTCCTGGAACACCAACACCTCGCCGAAATACCACGCTGCTCTGTACAGAGCTCAGCTTCACTGTTCGCAGGACGGTCGCGTCCGGTGAGGGAGGTCTCGCAAGACCACCACAAACTGCTGGGAGGCAGGCCACAGTGCTGGAACAATTACTTACATCTCTTCATGTCTTCTAGCAAGGTGAACCTCCTGAGCCAAATAGGATGACATTTTCAGTTGTTTGCCCCAGTTTTGTCACTCTAAAGGAAAAGCAAGTGAAATTAAAATCTTCCAAAGACGTAGATGGAACATACACTTTTCAGCATTAAACAATTCTGTGTTAAAAAACTGCATGCGTGATATTTATATACCAGCTATCTACACAAAACCTGCTTATAAATTTTAATATCCACCACAAGACGTTGTTACATTACGCTTTGAATATATGCAAGCTATTAATGTTCGCAATATGTTTTATTCTAGTAATTTATGAGAGAACTAAAATTTGACTTTCAAGTTTCAGATTTAGCCTTACATTTTCTCAAGTTTCAGATGCTTACAACCGCACACACAAGCTATATGCTTGCATAACTTGTGTATTACTGTTTGCATTAGTGATTTCTGGCTTTTGACAGGTTACTCTGAACACAAAGTTATACTTGTAAATATGATTTATAACTACCTCTCACAGATACAGTGCCCTGTTCATAGGAATCTATGTGGAAGTACAGGAACGATTATACTAAATAACTTCAGCTACTAAACCAGTTTAATTTTTGGGTGCTTGAAAAATTAAGTGAAGACTTCTTGAGCTCAGCTCTTCAGTGCTGTAACACAGTAAGTACATGATAGAATACACAGCTTCAACTGTTTACATCTGGTTTTTTTGGAGATATGAAGGGGAGCAACTGCCCAGTGCACGCAAAAAATGATCCAACAGCACTTTTCAGAAGGCTGAAAGTATTTTATAGACTAGCACTTTCTCACCTCAGAGGCGACTGCATTGCTGTCACATCAAGAAAAATTAAAGAACCTATCACGCTCACAATGTTGAAGGGTGGGAGAACCAGAAAGAAGATCTCATCAAGATATGAGAACATTAGGAAAGGCCTCTTCTGCATCAAGAGACCGACACATAACTTTGAAGCAAGTTACTGCCACGCGCGCCCTTAACTTCAGCAGAGGCTGTTTTCTAGGGATGCATGTTTCACCACACTCTGAAAAATCCGTCTATGCAACCGGCCTATTCCCAGCGCTTCCCCCTCTTTTAACGAGGAGCACATCCCCTCCGGGCTCCTTCCCTCGGCCAGGGAACCTCATGCTCCTTGCAAGACCAGGCGAGATCTCTGCTCATCGGGCAACGCCTGTACTGGCAACGGGAGGAACCAGCGCACGGGCAGCGCAAATGCGCGCACCTCTTTTCTTTAGGGAAGCCTAGCTTACGAACAGTAGCAATGGACGAGCACCCGGTGCGAGCAC